TGTGTGTGTGTGTGTGTGTGTGTGTGTGTGTGTGTGTGTGTGTGTGTGTGTGTGCGCGCGCGCGCGCGCTCGCGTGCAAAAATTTTCCTGTGAGAGATTTTGTTTAAGATTAAGATATTTATAGTTTATAATAATAAGCAATAATGCAATAATTAATATCTGCAATTTTTAGTTTGACACTTTATTTTAGCTAAATAAAGTGAGGAGATGCTGCATGGTCTGCTCCATACTTGGCCGTGGGATAAAAAGACATATGTCACAGAGGTAATGTTTGTTTTATGTTTAAAAAAATTGTTTTCCACACAAAGAATCAACAAACTATGGAGCCCTGTAAGGACTGTGTCAGAAAAACATATTACCAGCCCTTTCAATACTATTAACTTGCCACAGGCTCTGAAGAAGAGAAAGTAACCTACTCTTGCATTCATTTTGTGTAATTGAAAGTGTGGATTTTTGAACAGATTATTTTGCTGTCTGCAAAATATATTTATATAACATACCTGTACATACAGTACATATAATCCTATCACAAAAGCATTATAACAAAAAAGTCATTTATTTTATTTTTCATTTATTTTTTGTTCAGTGGAGACATTGTCAGAAAATGAGTATAAGAGAAGAGTGTTGAGTTTCAGCTTGTATTTCCTTGTCTTTACATTTAGATGTGTTAAACTCAGGACATAGCACTGTTTGTTTGAACCTACCAGTTTTTCAAGTGAGCAAAATTATTGAAATGTGACCAAATTTGGTCTCTACTAAAGGGATGGAAAGTCCAAAGTGTGTAGAGAAACAAATGAACTGCTTATGATTAAAAACATACAAACTCATCTGTGAAATATGGTGGAAGTAATGTCATGGCTTTAACATGCATGGCTGTTTCTAAAACAGGTTCATTAATATTTATTGAAGATGTCACTTATCATGGCCATATAAAAGCCATCACCTCCATGATCGTACTTAAGAATGTGTAGTGGTAGCCCGAGAAGCTTTCTTCTTTCTGCTCAACTCGCTTCATGTTGTAAAACAGATTGTGTCAACATTAAAAGACTCCTCTCAGACTGATTTGTCAACAATATTGTACACAAAAAGCACATTTTTAATTGTCTTATTGTAAATTACAATCTACATGCAGACAGTGAAACTATATTAGGATTATGTTGATTACTAAACATAAAAATAAATATATTTAAAATTAAATTGTTTTATTTTCCATAGGTTTCAGGCACCTTTGAACAGTGTACGGCCAGTCGCTCAGTCTTTCACCAAAGAGGTCATTCTCCTGCCAGACCACACATACACACATGTGCCAAGACGTGACAANTTTTCTATTTTTTTTTCTAATATATACCAGCTTCTTGCAATTTAATGTCACCTAAAATCACACAGTGTTATTTGTGTCAATGTAATATATACTTTAAGATGTTCTTATTTTGTGTCTGTGTTTAACCAGTCCTGTTCTGAGGAAGAGAATAGACATGCAAATAGCTCTGATCTTGAAGAAGTATCAGACAGTGACAAATGTGGTAAGTGTTAATACTGTATGCATATAAATCTGATCATTTTTTAAACTACATAAAACAAAACTAAACTAAATTAAACATACTGTGGAGGGAAAATGTAATTTTAAATCAGAAGAATACACTTTAGAAGTGATAGTATTTTTGTTAAAAAGTAACTGACTCCTCAGTCTTAAAACTGGTCGTGCAACTCTTGACAGGAACAACTAGCATTTGCAATAACTGGCAGTGAGTCTTTCACATGACTTTGAATGAACTTTGAACTATTCTTTGCTGAATTGTCTAAATACAGCCACAACCACAACCACACAATTTCAATCATAATAGGTTTGTTTAAGATCATGACACAATTTTAATCAAATTAAAGTATGAAAAAATTAAACAGGTCCTCTGGATGGGTTCTTTAAATGAAATGTTTTGTTTCTCCACAAAGAGCCCTTCTTCAGTCTGAAGAGTTACAGGTAGAAGTGTCCAAGTCTCATGCATCAAGAAATTAAAGTATACAGTTTGAGCATGAAACTCCAAAACCTTCAGTTTTTACCCATTCAGAGGTTGACTTGGCACATTTTATTTATTTATTTATTTATTTATTTATTTATTTATTTATT